CCAACCCCCTCCGTTTCATGGACTTACCATCTCACTGGATTTCCCTGCTCCCACTGAGCTACTGACTCTAGTCTTTCATATGCACTGACTTGCTCAGCCATCATATTCCAATTCTCTTGACCCATTCTGCTCCTGATTACACTGAATATTTTTCCCAACCACCAGGGCTCCAGACGCTGGGAATCTCAGGCTTTCAGTCACTCTCTCAGCCTCTGTCTCTGTCTTTTGGTTTTTGCCTTTCTCACTTAGAATTGACCTGGTTCTTGATCAGGCCTATCTCATTGATTAGTTTAATGGTGTTAATACATAAAAACATATCATGTGATCAGATCAATAAGTGATTTGGTGTCTTAAGTGATATACTATATATACACCAAGAAATGATGCCCTAAATTAGAAATTCTGATGGAGATTCTCAGCCTTTGAACAGAATTTTTAACTGTCATTCCAAGAAAAGCAATTCAGTGAGCTTCTGATATCCTTCTGATAATAGGTGGATCTGTACACATAGAAATAAATGTAATTTATACATATGTAATATATAATATGTACTTCTAATATCTACACAATATGTACACATATAATATATAAATGGTAATGCTAATATTTGCCAATATTTGAAGCATCTGGAATTTTCTTGGTGTAGGGAATTTTTTCTACCAACAAAGGTCCTCGCTTCTCTCTGATTTGATTGATAAATCCCAGGGAGTTACCAGAAGCACATTGTAGTTAAGTAATTTGCCCATGAGAAGCAGGATTTGAATTTGGTCTTCTTGACTCTAAGCCTAGTATTTCATCTACTTTGCCAGGCTGCTTTTCTGTTCTTGATACTCTTGGGGGAAAATAAAACCAGGGGAAACAAAACTTCAGACAGACAAGGGGGCATTTTCTTTCCTTGTGTGTTATAAAATTCATTTGATTCCATATAAGATTTTATTCCTTACTTTATGTTTATTTGATTACTTCTTTTTTGTTGATGGTTAAGTTTATAGCAAAAATGTTTAATTGAATTTTTAATTATGTGAACTTGGTGAAGAAATAAAGCAATCTAGAATGGTGGAAAGAAGACTGAATTTTGAGTCGGAAGATCTTGGTTTTCACCCTGGGCCTGCTACTGAAGTGTGATTTTTGACAAAGCACCTAAACTCTCTGGGCCACAGTTTCCTCATCTTTAAAATGTGGGGATTAGATTAGATGATCTCTAAATGCTCATCTACCTGAGCCTGACATTTCCCTTTTCTCTTCCATCTGCCCTTTGAGGACCAAAGTGGTCAGAAATGGAAACAGGTGTAGAGGAGAGAGAATCATAGTATCACAGATTTAGAGCTGGAAAGGACCTTAGTCTCATCCTCTCATTTTACAGATGAGGAAATTAAGGATAAGAGAAATTTAAGTGACTTGCTCAGGGTTTCACAGCTAGTAAGTGTCTGAGGAAGCAGTTGAAATCAGGCCTTCCTGACTTTAAGGCCAATGCTCTAACCACAGCATCAACTAGCTGCCTCTAAACAGGGGAAGATTTGTATGGTCTGGGTTGGGAATGAATTTTAGATCTACTGACACGCTGTCCCTCCCAAAACTGTCATGTGAAAGAAGGAGAAGATGAGTTCTGCTTGGTCTGGGAAAGCAGAACTAGAAGCAATAGGTGGAAATTGCAAAGTAGGAGGCTTCAGCTCAATCAAAGGAAAAGCTTCTTAAGAACAAAGCTGTCCAAGAGAGGAATAGGTGGTCCCTGGATGCGGGTAAGTTCCTTATCACTGGAGAACTTCAGAGTTTTAGTTGTTCATTCACTGATTGAATTGGAGAACCAATGAGGTCCCATTCACATCAATGACTATGAATGCCATTCCTCCATATATGTACCTCCATAATGGCATTAATTGGTTAGCTGAAACATGACAGTAGATGAAACAACAGGAGGAAGTTGAATGCAATGATCTCTGTGGTCCCTTTTATGCTTAAAACTATATTCCTAGCATCATGAGTGGACTGGCCCGGTTCTTAGAGCATGTGTAGACTTGCCATTCCTGGGGCGTCATATAGAGAATGTGCAGTCTTGCCTGCCTGGCTTCATTCCAACATACAGAGGGTTGGTGAGTCTATTTCCAGTCACAAGCAACCGAGGGGGGTTACTGTGGTGATGAAGAGTCTTCTAATTGACTGAAGAGCCAGAATCTAGGGTACATACACAAAGGTTACAAATGATTACCTTTTGGTCTCTTAAGTGAGGAGGTTTGCACTGAGGCACCAGGTGGAGAGGAAGGGTAGCGGTGCCCTTCTGTCCCCACCCTGCTGCCACATGTCTGTGTGGGCATTCTGTCTGCTCCTTTCATGCTTATTCTTGTCTGTTCTGAGGTGAATGAGTATCTGGAAATGAAATACCAAGTTGTGACCTAGTGAGCTCCAAAGGCCACAAGAACCATGAGAAGCCCCTTTAGTGACTAAGCGTTCATAGTAGAGAGCATTGGGGCAGCTAGGTGGCACAGTAGATGGAGCACTGGCTCTGGAGTCAGGAGAACCTGAGTTCAAATCCAGCCTCAGACACATAACACTCACTAGCTGTGTGACCCTGGGCAAGTCACTTAACCCCAATTGCCTCACCAAAAACGAAAAACAAAAAACAAAAACATAGTAGAGAGCATCAGAAGTGGTAGCAACAATAGCTGATCCAGATCAGTAAAGAGTCAGCCCTAAAGAACAGCCTACTAGACCCAGTCCAGCAGTAGATGGACCCATTAGTTGAGGTGCTGTACCCTGCAAGAGGCTGGTCCTGCTGAATAACGGAGCAATTCATGCATTGCAATGCCCTGAAATAAACTTTGTGGGGACTCCACAAGGAGTGAAAAGATTTTGTAAGGACCCCTTCTGCCCTATGTGTTTCCTATCCGTGTGCCTAACTTTGTACTTTAGGCTTCAGCACACTCTCTACGGAAACCTTGATATACCTACTAAGAAACTGCACCATGAAGGGAGAAAAAGTCAGCTCCCCTCTGGGGACCCAACCTGCCAGAGCAAGTTGGGGATGGGGTGGGAGAATGGTCACAGAGGGAGGTGCTACACTAGGAATTTAGAGTCAGAGTCATGAAAAGTTAGAGATGAATGGCCCCTGTGAGATGACGCTGCCCAATTCTCTCATTTCTCAGAGGAGGATAAACTAGAGTTCGTATTTATATAGTCTTTCAAATTCTGCAAAGTGCTTTTACCCAAACCATCTTACTTGATCCTCACAGCAACTGTGGGAGGTAGAAACACTAAGGTTCTGTGATATTACAGATGTTTTCCCCTTTTTATAGATGAAGAAATGGGAGCTCAAAGAGAGAAAGTGATATGTTCATGGTTGTGCATGGCATTAGAGGCAAGAAAACTTGGACCTTCCACTCCTAGCAAGCCAATCTATTTGTAATCTCTTATAAAATACTTCCTAATTCTCATCTCTGTGCTAATCTTTTCATTTGAAATATTACTCTATATCTTTCACCTCTACCAATTCATGGCAATCAATCAATCAATAACCCTGAAGTGTCTACTATGTGCCTTCTGGTATCTCCTTCAAGATATGACTCATAATGCACCTCCTCCTTTAACTCCCTAGGATCCAAAAATCATCTCTATGCTGATAATTCTCAGATCCACTTACTCAGCCCTAACCTCTCTCTCAATCTCTAGACTCCTATCTCTAACTTCTTATTGGACATCTTGGAGTAGATAGCCCATAAACATCTTAAACTCAACATGTACAAAACTGAACTCATTATCTTTCTCTCTAAGCCCCTCTCCTCTATGTTTCCTATTACTGTGGAAGACACCACCATCCTCCCAGTCACTCAGGTTCACAACCTGGGTGTCATCCTTGACTCTTTACTCTTTTGATAGCAACACATGGAAGGCTGGTGAGTCTATTTCCAGTGAGGGGTGGAACTGTGATGGTACCCCATATCTAAACCATTACCTTTGTAAGATCTCTACTATGTATCTTGTCCCCTCTCACAATGCCACGCACCTTGGTGCAGGCAACTCATCACCGTCTACTTGGAATATTGTCCACCGGTTGATCTCCCTGTTTCAGGTCTCTCCCAGCTCCAGTCCATCCTTAACTCTGATGATCTCCTTAAAGTAAAACTCTGACATCACCCTCATTCAATAAACTCCATTTGCTCTGTTACCTGCAGCATCAAATATAAAATCCTCTTTTGGCAATCAAAGCCCTTAATCTGACCTCCCTCTTGCCTTTCCAATCGTCTGACAACTTACTCCCCATCTCTACCCACATACCTCACAATCCAGTGACACCAGATCGAATGTTGTTTGTACATAGTTATTTACATGTAGTTTCTCCCATTCGATTGTGAGCTCCTTAAGGGCAGGGACTTTTGGCCTTCCTTTGTGTCCCCAGAGCTTAGCACACTGCCTTGCATCATTAGGCACTCAATGTTTGCTTGTTGATGACTCGACTCTAGGAATAATTTTTTTTTCCTTATTAGTGTGTGTGTGTATGTGGTGTGTGTGTGTGCATATTCTATCTGTACTTTTGTGGGAGAGGGAGTGGTGGGGCTGGAAATAGTGCTGGTGATCTTCCCCATATCCGCTTTTAAAATGTGGTTTCATTAATACGTCATCTTTCTCTCCAATTAGATTGTAAGAACAAAGACGATAGGATCATGGATTTAGAGATGGAGGGGCCTTTTTATGGTGGTGGTTAAAAAAAAAAGACAGGTCCAGAGTCATGCTGCTAGTTAATTTTGGAGATGGAATTTAGACGTAGGTCCTTATTCTCCAAACTGGTCTCTCCATTACTCCATCCCTTGCCTTTCCTTGGTATTGCTGATGATCTCCAGAGCACCTACCCTAACATTTTGTACAAACTAGGGGAATCATGAGTGTTTCACAAAGACTTAATTCAAAATGAGTTCTTGTATACTATTAAGCATTCTACTGGAAAGGATATGGATCCTTTGCACAAGCACCTATGAAGGAGGAAAAAAAAGAGAAGTATGACAAGACAGGATTGTAATTTTTTTGGTTTAATATTTGCATTGCTTCTATAGCGCAATTATAGCAATATTTAAAATTCACTTCTCATTACAAATATTTGTCAAGTTTTATTTCAGAAACATTTTTCCTACTTCCTTATACATGCACCCAGGCACACTATAAAAACTCATTCAAAACTCAGGAAGGGCAAACATCATTCATGTAAACATCTTTCATTAGTTTCCCATAGTTTTAAAAATCACAACTCTACAGATGTTGGATAAGGCTTATCAATTTTGTTTAAATGCTGTAAGAGACCAATCGAGAATGTTTGCATGGTACAGTGGGGTGGGGTTCCTGTTTTGCTGCGGTGTCTTCTGCAAACTCACCCCAGTCTTTCAACCCTTAAACATACCTCACAATCTACTAAGTGACCGCTCAGGTTAGATGAAAAAGTAGAGGAAAAATTATTGAAGCAATTTGCCCAGGTATAGAGCCATAACTAGGAATTTTTGTGCCAGTGGCAAGCTTCACAAAGCATACCCTCAAAGTATTTTTTTTTCAGATATATTCAGTTGAGGGGTGGAGGAAGGCAGAAATCTCAGGACAATGCCCCATAATGGGAAGACAGCTGCCCCCTCCCCAAGACACTGGAACCCTGAAGGTGAATGAGGCCACCACTATGATGGGGTTTCACAATGGAGGGGCTCAATTGCAGTATATTGGTTAGTGTTGGGGGAAAGATGCTGTTGCTACGCTATTCTAATTAATTGTTCTTGTTAATTAAGTGCCAAGCTCAAATTTTGTTGCCCTGGGTCAAAGCCCCTGCCACTCTACCATAGTTATGGCTCTGTGCTTGGGAATTTTCTTATGTTACAATCAAAATTATAGTAGCAAAAAATTGAATCACCTAAATCTGTATTAGGATGTGTGCACATACATTGAAAATTAATCATAACAAAATTATTCATTTTATTTTGTCCAAGAGGCACCATTAAGAAAACTCAAGTCTTGATAATCCATGGTAACAAAATTGTTCTGTCTCATTTTTGAGGGATAATTGAGAGGTATGTCCTAGAAATGCGACTGGTCTTAATATGAAAATGACTTCAAACAACTGTGAGTGCATAATGTTCCATACAGAAGGGGCAAGATTCTCCTCCTGTCTAAATAGATGTCTCTCTGGTAGTAAGTTAGGAGTTCAGGAAAATGCATTCACTCCAGAACTGAGATTAGGTTATTCGCCACTCTGTAAAATGCTGGTTGATGCTCTCTGCTTTTTCTCCAGCCCCTCCTTCTGGAGGGTGAAGATGTGTATGCAGGAGCTATCGACAGAACTTTGGGGATCTCCCCACCCTGAGAATGAGGCTTAACCTGATCTTCACTAAGAGCAACCTAACTGGGTCTGTGCCTGGGCAGTAGGGATGGAGGTTAATAGCAGCTGGAAAATGCGTCTCCAGGCTTCCAACACCCACTTGTGGATTTCAGTGATGCTGCCCCAAGAAAATGCGGCCACATTGGGTAATCACACTATTTGCACTAATGGCTCTGATTGAGTTTTAGGACCCTGTAGTGACTGAAGAGTGACTATGACTCCATCAGCCCCTAATTTACTACCCAGAGGGGACTCAGGCACTGGGGGAAATGGAGCCTTATTAGCTTCTTCAGTAGCAGATGTAACAATTGAGGAGAAGTCGCTGCTACTTAGAATATTTTTTAGGCTACTGACATCTATAAAATTGTTCTGTATTTTTTGCTAATGCACTCAGAAAATCCTCACAAAACTTTGTCTTTTTTTTTAATAGCACTGGAATAAATCAATTTCATTTAAATATATTCATTCTACCATGAAAATATCTCATACAAACATCTATTTACATACAAATGCATTAAAATTTGTGGAAAGTGTTCCCCACACCTGTGGATGTATGGCTTCAATATTTTAATTGCTTTTAATGTGTATCCTTATGTTCGGCAAAATAAAATGTGCATTAAATTTAATAATTTTCTAAAAATAAAACAAAAAAGCGAAACAGGAGATTCAAATTTATAACAGGGAAAAAGCAAGAAAGAATCTTACTGGGGAGCTTCAAATGGAAATCTTTAAAATATTGCATACCTTTGATCTGTGGAAGGTAAATATACAATTAATAGATCCTGTGACACCAGCTTTCTGTTGGTTGGTTAGCTGGCTTGTTTACTTTTGAATCATTTACTATAGAAAAAAGAAATGCCTTGGTTTGAAATCATCCCTACTTTTCAGACTGAATCTTGGGTGAATGACTGGCTTTCTAAAAACAAATGCCTACCATTTCTACCTGAATATTTTCAATATCTTCTCCCAGGGGAGTTTTAAACCTTTTCTTGGACTGGATCATCAGCACAGGAAACACCCAGTGTGCTAACTCCCTCCACCCATGCAGATCAGCAAGTTAAGGGGTTACCTGAGGTTCAAAGAGGTCAAGAGACGTAGTATAGTCATACAGCATGGCCTAGTGGGTAGAGATATGACCTTGGAGTCAGGAAGACTAGGCAGCACTTGAACCCAGGTCTTCCTGATTGCAAGGCTGTATCTCTATTCACTAGGCCATGCCATCTTTCTTTTAAAAATATTACATACTTATATATGTGAAGATACATATTTCTATATATATGAAACGTTAACTGTTACCATGTTCAACAACCTGAACAATTATAGTGAAATTAGCCTTGGTGGTATTTTCAGGTTGTTAACATTACAAAGATAAGAGTTTTTCCCTATTTCAGGTGTCTCAGAATACATCTCTGGTCCTGAACTGATTCCTAGAGGGGCTTTTAAAAACTGATTTTCTTCTTAAGTTTCTTGGTAGACCAGGGTGAAGCAAGTCACAGAGCAAGCAAACAAACATAGAAAAAAAACCCCAAAAAACAAAACAAAACAAACAAAACTCAAGTCTTAATCTGTTTCTTTCATCTGGGATCTTTCTATGAATAAAGCTCTTCCTTCCCAAATTAGCCAACTCAAATGCCATTTAGGGATAAGTTTCTATGGATTAGTTCTGACTAAATGCTTATGCAAAGCTACTGCTTCACCGAGATTTGAGAAGATGCTGAGAAAAGAGAGAAGCATGCGAAAGAGTCAGGCTGAGACCCATAGTGATAAAAGCTGCTTGAGGCTAGTCCACAACTGCGTACATACAAGCTCTCAAGTTGTTTTTGTCAACATGAAGATGTCCCTTTGGGCCTTCACCTTTAATCTTCTAAATCCTTGCCTCGATGATGCTAGGGAAGGAAGCTGATCCAGCTTTCTACCTTATCCAATCTCTTCCATGTCATCCTCACACATTCCAAGGTTCAGGCCAAGTTCTTCCCTTGCTCTCCTCCCCACCCCTCACCACATACATGCATGTGTGCCCAGATTCAGTGAGGGCATACATGGAGATGAGATAACTAAAGGAAGAAGCGAGACCTAGAACACTCATTCTTTCCTGGGAACCTCTACACCCTCCACTTCTTCACCTACATACAGAAAGCATGAAATCCAATCCAGATTGGGGCAAAAACCTACACTTTTACAGAGGCCTAGTCTCCAAGTCTAATAATGACTTAAAGAGTCCAAGTTCCTTGGATTAAAGAGCCCCAAAAGAATGTAAAAATTATATTGGAAGACAGGGAACCAGAGCTAGGCCTTGTTTGCAGAGTTTTTGCCTCCAAGGAAGACTTCACAAAAACCTCAAAAACCATTGCTTAAAATGTAAGACCATCCATGCTTACTACTAGGCTGTTGTTGAAGTTGTTTTTCTTCTGTGAGGTCCAGCCTCTAAACCAAATCCCATAGAATAGACAGGGTGCTGGGGAACCAGATCAGAAAAACAAGGCAAGAAGCTCCATCTCCTGCAACACTGAAAGAAATAGCAGGGTGAAGAGTCAGTATGGACAGACTCATCTTTAGGTAGCCATTCCACATTTGCCAATAATCAGCACCAAATGCCTTTAGCAGCAGAATGAGCAAAGCTGCTGAGATATATCAATGACATAGCCTGGCTAAAATAAAGGTCAGGAACCCCTTACATTCTATATGGCACCATCAAGACTTTGACCCCAAACATCTGTCCATTAGAAACTAGACTCATATTCTTCCAGAGTGCCCTCAGAAGGGGCCTGCTCACACAATAAATAGGGATACAGATGAACACATTTCACATAAACTTAGGTGAGGGCTGGGGGCATCTTCCTCTCTCTCCCTTCACCCACAAGGGCCACCAAAAAGCCTCCCACAGCTTATCCAAAGCAACAAAATACAATTATTGACTCACTTGTCTTAAAGAGGAAAAACAAGGAATATAAAATAGTATCCAGTAAGTCCAGGTTAGTGGAAGAGGCAACAAGGGAGAGAGAGAAAGGGAAAGGGAGACGAAAGGAAGGAAAGACATAGCAGAAAGGAATGAGGAAGCAGAGGGAAACTGATGGATGTATACTGCATGCACATACACAGAGATGGGAGTAAGGGTAGGCAAGTTAGGTGGTCACCCAGGATGTGAACATGTACAGGTTGCAACTAGGGACTTTGGGGATATCATATTTTACAAATGCACATGTGTTTTAATGCCATAAAGTTCCATTCTCCACAGCATGTAGGTTTTTATTTTTTTGGAGTTGTATTTGTTTCTGTGAAAGTTTTCCTGTCCCTTTGCGAGACAGGAAAAGCCAGGGGGGACATCTAATTTTCAGACCCTACCAAGAGCACCTAAATGCCTTGTCCCAGCTTTGTACATGTAGACACATGTAATATGATGCAAAAAAAGAGAGAGAGAATAAAGAAGAGGGGGAAAGGAGAAAGGAAGAGCCAGTGGGAGAGAGAGGCTATGTATGTAGGACAAAGTGTACAGGGGATGGAGAGAGAAGACCAAAGGTCAAAATCCTGCTTCTGCCACTTGTCTCTGGGACCTTGAGCTCTGAGACTTTGAGCAAGTCACTTTGTGTCTTGGTCCTCATCTATAATGAGGTCCTTTCCAAACCTACAAATCTATGTCTCTTAAACTGTCCTGGAAGACAGAGACAGAGGTAAGGAGAGAGAGGTAGAGAGAAGGAGATAGGGCCAGGGAGATGATCAGTTTTCAGGTGAGCATCAGATCACAATGATTGATTCAGGATATTAGCTTTGGAGTGAGGTCACCTATCAGATGTAGAGATGAAAGAGACCTTAGAGAGATCAACTAATTCAACCCCTTCGTTTAACAGATGAGGAAACTGAAGCTCATAAAAATTAAGTACCTTCCTGAGGTCACACAAATAGTAAATAGTAGGGTCAGATTTGAATCCATGTCTCTTGACTCAAGATCCAGCGCTCTTTCCATTATACTTCACACTTTTCACAGCTTGTCACTTACTCTAATGCTTTACCCTTTAGAGGCTCCATTCCAAATGGCTTAACCCAAGCAATCCACTGGGGGAGAAATTATCACTTGCAGTATCAATGACCAAGGCAATATCACCCTGAGGAATGCAACCATCAAATCAATGGCTAGAAGAACTACCCTCCCTGGCTAGAGGTTCCTTTGCCCTGACCTAGATTGTTCATAATTCTGTGATTCAAATGACTGGGATAACTAAATCCATTTTTCTTTTGCTAACTGCCCAGAAAAAAAAGATCACTCACCTTCAGAAACATTCACTGATATAAAAACCTAAGCACCATGAAGACAACCAGTGTGTAAGTCTAAGAAACACTGTCCCCTCTATCACAGTTTATGGAATGGGGTCTTTCCCCAAAGTGGTGGTCATTCTCACCCTGTTCCTTGGTGTTTGTTGATCAGAAAGATATGCAGCTTACTCATTCTTCTTCCTGGCTGATCTATGGCAGTGCAGAGGAGGATTCATTCACTATTGCCAGCTCTCCCCAGTGCAAAAGCATCATATTCACTCTCTCAATAAGTACCGGTTCATGGAACGCTCACCATCTATTAGCAGAATAGTGAGAACCACCTGGGTCTGACTGAGCTCTGGAATCATGGGGTCTTGTGTTAACAGCCCTAGCTCAGGATGAGCACCCTGGGAAGCGTGGTGGCACAGATGGTGGGGAGGGGAAAGGCTGCCTCTGCACAAGCCTTGACAGCAAAACCTGAACAGAGCAAGCTGTGTGGCCAGAGAACTGAACCAAAGGCTCAGGGCCTTCAATCAAGTCCAACAATATGTAGTGGTGTACATGATTATGAGTAACCTAAGATTTGATTTGAAATCACAAATGCTGATTTCACTTCTTTATTCACCACATACCCCTGCTATCTTCCAATCAACAAATAGCTCCCTCTCTGATACAACTCAGAAATCTTTATCTATCTAAACTAGATGCCTAAGCTGACTAGTTGGGTGTCAGTTTCCACCAATGACACTTTGCAAATTAGAAGCACCGCTGCCCTAGAGACCTATGTCAAATGAAATGCTGGCATGGCCCAAGCAGTCTGAAGCAGATATTGCTAAGCTTTAGCTGTGTTTAAGCAGTTGAAAAACAAACCAAAATCCCCCAAACCTATAAATCCATTCAGAGCAATCCAAGTCATAGTATAGACCTAAATAGCTACCTTACACAGAGGTGGTTTTTTTTTGTTTCTTTGTTTCTGCAAATTTTTTTTAGTATATATGGCTTGCAGAGTGGCTGAAATGCTATTTGCTTTGACTATAATGTATTATTTTTGATTCACAACTTGTACAATGCATTGAAACAGGTAAGTAATTTGCAAACACAATGATGAAGAGCTTTTGCCTTAAGATTCCATTCTGATCCTAGAGATCAATGTTTGTGCCATAATTAGTTTCATTAAAGTGCAAATCCTTAACCCTTTTTACATTCTACATGACGACTCAGGGTTGGTTTTTGAACATGGCATTCAATATACTATGCCCCAAACAAGACTGCTCTTTAAATGTCTCATGTTATGTATATCTAAGTTATCCTAGGGCCCATGAGGGAAGACAGCACTGTCATGGCCCCAGGTTGCTGCCCCCAGGTGTTAATTCCTCCCTCCTTTCTTTCTGAATACACATATTACAAATCTTCCATAGCTTGATGCAAGTAAATCCAACCCATTCCTCTTTCTGTCTTAAAGCAAAGAGCTCTTCATTTTCATGCAAGGATATTAATTCTATAAAATACACTGGCTCCTAGAACCAGTTATTTATATCAGGATGTAACAAGGAAACAATGAGAGAGAGAGAGAGAGAGAGAGAGAGAGAGAGAGAGAGAGAGAGAGAGAGAGAGAGAGAGAGAGAGAAATAGAGAGCGCCATAGAGATCTATACACAGCCACTCACACAAAATCCATTAGAAAGGTTTTTCCCTTGCAGGAGAGTTCTAAGAAAGGGGGAAATGACTCAAAAAAACCAGGCTTCTTCTGTACACTAGGAAAAACAAAGTCATTCTGTTGCAAAGATACAGATCAAAGGTTAAAAGGCAAATTATGCTATGTTTAGAGAAATTTAAGCGTAATAATCCTCTAACCTCCACTGTGGCATGTATGCAAAAGTGTAATCACACCATTAACATTAGCCATAGAAATAGCATCATGGAAAACCACTGACTAAAAAAAAAAAGATGAAAATACCCCATTTCCCTTTTTTTCAATCAAATCATTTGGCATCTCTGAATATGGTGCAGACTTAGATTCTAAATACCCAAAGGACATCACGCTGTTTTAGGCAAAATATTAAATAATACCTCCCAATCAGGTGTTGTTGTAACGCTAGCTAATTTTAAACCTAGCATGAGTAATAGAGTCAAAACTAGTTAGTATGCAAGAAACTCATTGCTAACACAGAGTGAGAGGATATGATATAACAGCATGAGCAGTCCCTGGTTATCCAGTTTCAGTATAAACGTAGTGCATAGATCCAAATTTCTACTCCAGGTCAATAAACCAAAGAGCCGAGTTTGTATTTCACTTCTCCTGGGCAGCCTGGAAGACCTTTAGTTCCATCCGATACCATTCTGGAGCTTCGGGCATGCTCTTTCCAGGAGGGTTATGATCATATCCGTAGGCGACAGTGAGCTCCTCATCTCTCTCCACTGCTTGTTTAGTGCGGATACATTTGATGGGCCCAAAACGTGGATGTGCAAACCTAAACACCAAGACATGTCATTGTCACTCATGGCAGTTTTTAGCATCAATAATAAACATTGTCCAAATGTCTAATTGCATTGGCTTCAACCAAGAGTTGAGGACCAAAGGATCTTCACTGGAAGCATCAAGGGTTAACACCTCCTATCAGTATCTTGACTCCTTTTTAGAGCTTGTCTTGTGCTCACTATATATACATATGTGTGTGTATGTATGTCTAAATACATACATACATATACACACACACACTCACACGGACAAACCAGTGAATATATAACCAACGAAGCCACCTTAAAAATCTATCCTGAATGATATCAGTGCTGGGAAAAGGATAGTGGACCTAGGTTCAAATCCTGGCTCTGCTGCTTATTATTTGTGTGACTTCAGGCAAGTCACTTAACTTCTCTGTTTCCTAGTTTTCCTCATTTACAAAATGAGGAGTTTTAACTAAATGATACCTCCGGTTGCTTCCAACTCTAAACCATAATGATATATCATTTTTCAGTGGTTGTGTTTGTTGTTTAGTCACTTTCAGTCATGTCTAACTCTTCTTCACCCCTTTTAGGGTTTTCTTGGCAAAGATGCTAGAATGGTTTGCCATTCCTTCTCCAGTACTTTTTACAGATCAGGAAACTGAGGCCAACAAGGTTAAGTGCTATGTCCAGGGTCACACAGTTAGTAAATGTCTGAAGTTGTATTTGAACTCAGGTCTTTCTGACTCCAGGCCTGGTGTTTTAGCCACTGTACCATCTTGCTACCCATCATAGCTAAACTATGATGATATGTCATCTTGAAGTGGTATAGCTGCATAAAACTTGAGCCCTTGGAGCTGCCACTGAGTTCTATGGAATTTGGCAGGCATTTATTAAGTACTCATCATATTCAAGGCACTGTTCTAGGACTGGGGTTACAGGTCAAAAAATGAAAGAGTTCCTCCCCTCGAGGAGATTACCTTCTGCACAGGGAAAATGACATGTACACAGGTACATATATATACAAAACATATACAGAGTGAAAACTGAGAGGAGGGGGAGGAATTGTCAATTTCCCTGCTCTTAGAGGGAATGTTAAGGAATCTGAGCATCCTGACGTACCACTTGTATTCTCAAAAGCTCAAGATGTGCTGAAGTATTTTACCTTTGTTTGCATAAAAGTAAATACAAGATCTTAGAAAAGGTATATCCCTAAGCTCTCAGATAGCCTGCCTCTCATGTCTTCCTAGACTCATGAAGGCAGCAGCATTTTCACACTATGATGCTCACTAATTAGAAGAGTAATATTGTCTCTATTATCGGGCTTCTTTCCCTTTGCTTGGTGGTACGGTGAATAGGACACCAGGTCTGGAGTCAGGAAGACTCATCTTCATGAGTTCAAATCTGGCCTCAGATTACTAACTGTGACCTTGGGCAAGTCCCTTAACCCTTGTTTGCCTCAGTTTCCTCATCTGTAAAATGAGCTGGAGAGGGAAATGGCACACCACTCCAGTATCTTCACCAAGAAAACCCCAAATGGGGTCATGAAGAGTTGGACATGACTGAAACGATTGACCAACAACTTCCCTTTGCAAAATGGGTTCGTTTCCACAAGTGGCTTATGAAATTAGTCTTTCCTTTATAATTCTACCTGAGAAATAGGATATGGAAAGGGAAACTAGGGATAATTTAGAAAGCCTTCATTTTCTAAGAACAAGATGTGATTGATGAATTGGGAAGTAATGGCTTGGTGAGCCCCCATAGAGAGGGACAGAGAGAAGGGCTGGAATTAGGGTTTCTCTGTAGTTTAATATTATGGAAAGGAGTTTCATCAGCCAACATGTCTCAGGTCATCTTCCATCTTAAAGGGAAAGCTTTCCTTGACACAGGCAAAGAAATTCAAGAATCCCTGATTATTATCTCTTAAATTTTCTCTTTAAATAAAGTTACCCATTGTTAAAATCACATGAAAAGAATGGAGCTCTGGCTGACATTTTGTTCCAAGATCCAGGTCTACAATTTTTATGTTTCCTTTTTGCTTTGTCATTTCCATACTCATTAGCAAAAAGCTTTCAGGGGGTGGGAAGAGAAAAAGGAGAAAAGAACTCCAAATCATTTATTTCAGGTGTTGGTTATTATTAACCTACCTCTCTCTCTCTCTCTCTCTCTCTCTCTCTCTCTCTCTGTGTCTCTCTCTTTCTCTCTCTCTCTCTCTGTGTCTCTCTCTCTCTCTCTCTCTCTCTCTCTCTCTCTCTCTCTCTGTGTGTGTGTGTCTCTCTCTCTCTCTCTTCTCTCTCTCTCTCTCTCTCCCTGCCGTGTTTTAAGCTTTACAAAGCACTTTCTTAACACTAACCCTTCAGGGTAGATAATTGGAATACTAATTAAGTCCATTTTAGAGATAAGGAAACAGAGGGACAGAAAGAATCTAGTATTTGCCCAGAGTCACAGAGCCTGGAAGTTTAAGAGCTAAGGCTTTAATGTGGGCTTTCTAAGTCCAAATTTCATGCTCTTTCTACTATGCCTCACTGCCTCTTCTTACGTCTATATCTCTGCACTGAATGATTTTTTGGGTCTGGACCTGTGATTTCACACGTGTATAAAACTGTCAGCATGAATTCCTCTTCCAGTCCAAGATGGAGCTCATCTCTAAGTTGTAGTCTTCAAGAGTTGCCCATATGTAAACTTAGAGTATGTAAAGGACTCACAAAGCACAGTCTCAGAGGTGGAAGAGACCACAATATTCATCCAGTTCAATCTGTGCCCAAATACCCATCACCTCTAAAAGAGATCCAGTAAGTGGCCATTCAGCCTTGGCTCAAAGATTTCTAGTAAGAGAGAGCATGCTACTTTCCAGTGTAGCCCATTCCACTTCAGGGATTTCTGTGTTAAGTTTTTCTTTCTATCAAACTGAAGATTTTCACTCTTCAATTTCCATCCACTTTTTCTAGTTCTGTCCCCAGGGGCTGAGCAGATCAAGTCAAATTCTTCTTTCACAGAACCCCTCAAATATTTTGAAGAGAACTATCATGCCCTCCTTCCTTCTTCTCTAAGCTAAACATACTTAGTTCCTTTATCCTCACATGGACCACCTTTGATGCTCTCCTGATTATCAGCATCCTTCCTAAAACATGGCAACCCAGAACAAAATAATAACCTAGGGTGGTCTTCCCAGGTTGAAGTATAGCAGCAATTCCATTCTTTCCCCCTCCATCTTCCTTGTCCTAGGCACTATGCCTCTATTTGTATTAACATGCTTGGTTACCAATAACAAACCATTGACTTGCTCTGAGCTTTAGGCAACTCAAAATCCCAGTTGTTTGTTTTTTCAGATGGTCTATCTAGCTGTATCTTCCCCCTCTTGTACTTGTGAAGTTGTTTTTTTTGAACCTGAGTCTCAGATTTCATATTTATTCTAATTAAATTTTATTCTATGACATCTGTCCCAATGTACCAGTCTACTCACTTATATTTGAATCTCGACTTGTTCACCTATCTCTCTTAATTGCTGTCATTTGAAAATTTGATAAGTGTGTGATCTATGCTTTTATTGATGCCATTGACAAAACATGATAAATAATACAGGGCCTAAGATAGATCCCTGGACACCAGAGACTTATTTCCAAATTATTGCATTGAAAGGAAAAGATGGGTTTCATATGGAGCAACAATGAACTCATATAACCTGACTTTTCCTGTGCTACACTCTTCTTCAAAACAAGATATCTATGTAGGATGCTGAGGATTCTGAAATACAATACAGTTTGATGTGGAAAAGGATTTGGGGATTAGGGGTCTCCTTCACAGGAAATTTCAGGAATTTCTCAGTAGAATATTATTAAAATGTATTTTTTCTCTCTATTGCCAATTTCCTTCCTTTCTCAACAGTACAGGATCCCCCAAAGCAATCATTTTCTAATCTTTGTCTCTGATATACTAAACGTCTTAATCTCATGTCACTATCAAAATCTCTTTTTGCAGGAAACATGTTTGCAAAAGTAAACAAAGTATGACTAAAATCAGTGCCCTATGGAAAGCAGAGAAAGAAGTTATGGACTGAGCTGGCAATCTCCAAGCTGGTCTGGACACTTTCTTATTTCTGAATTTCCTTCTTTCTTTCTTTTTTTTTTTGCTTGGCGAGGCAATTGGGGTTAAGTGACTTCCCCAAGGTCACACAGCTATTAAGTGTCAAGTGTTTGATCTGAGATAGGATTTGAATTTGGGTCCTCCTGACTCCAGAGCCAGTGCTTTATCTGTCTACTGAGTATTTCTGAATTTCAGTGTCAGCTGGAGAGATGTTACCATGATATTGGTGGTAGGAGGTGAGAGAGGGACTGGCCTTCAAAGTTTTAAACCTCAGGGGCAGCTAGGTAGTGCAGCGAAAAGAGCATTGGCCCTGGAATCAGGAGGACCTGAGTTCAGATCTGGCCTCAGATACATAACACTTACTAGTTGTGTGACTCTGGGCAAGTCACTTAACCCCAATTGCCTCATTAAAAAAAAAAAAGTTTTAAATCTCACTAATTTTAGCACTGAAATTCACCTGGAGTGAGTGGCTCTCACATCCAAATGTATGTGAGCACAGCATGCTCACAAGATAATCTTATGGCCTCTTTATTAATCTGACAAATTTTTATTCAGTCCTTTTTTCTATTTTAGTTACAGATAGCTTGGGAGACAGGGTGTCGTCAAAGTAAAAACATTGCCCCTGAAATCAGAAGATCTGGGTATAAGCCTGGGTTCTACCACTTTCTAGTGAGGCAACTATGTACTTTTTCCACTTTGGGCCTTGGTCCTCTCATCTGTGAAATGAAGGGGCTGCAATGGATGACCTCCAAGGTCCCTTCCGGCTCTAACATTCTGTAATTCTGTGAAGGAGAAATAGCAAGTCACAGCTAGTACAACATCAGGGGCAGTATTTGAACCTAGGTCTTCCTGACTCCAAAGACAGCCCTGTACCTACTAAACCACCCTCCACCCACTGAATGATTAGGGCACCAAAGCATACATTCTCATATACACACATACCTCCTTCCACCTTAATGAGCATTATGTCCTTTGACAGAGAGGGTCCAAAACACATGTGCACGTGTGTGTCCTCTGTACATGTGTACGTATTTACATATTCACTATACACACAAATCACATGCACACTATATACTCACAAATCACTCTGTGTAAACACAAGACACTATACATCAAACAGACACATAACACATGCACACTATAAACACATAGAACATACTATGCACTTACAATGCACACTGTTTATATTAAAAACATAACTCACATACCACCGTACCTATATTTGAAGTTACAAAAAGAGCTGCTTCCCTTTGCCAATCATATTCAGCTGGAATAATTTTTAAAGTATTTGAAAGAAATATTGATTCATATAATTAAACACTTATATGACAGAACCGGGTATGTTGAGGAAAACTGAGCTAAATGCCACAATGTAGAGGCAGTATGATGTAGTGAACAGAATGCTGGGCTTGAAGTCATGAAGACTTGGGTTTGAATCCCACCTTTGATACTTAACTTACTATCTGGGTGACCCCTCCAAGAGCCTCAGACGACTCCCTAGCCCAAACTTACTAAGTCATTGATGGGGTGTGATTTGCTATCAGTACTGGTGGAAGGAATTCTCAATCTGGGAGTGCCCCCCCCCCCCTTATGCCTCATGCATGCATTTCCCATGATTTTGTATGATTTGTGCAGTGGTAACCCCTTCTAAGGCATTTCCTCTTTATCTTGCATTACTGAGGATCTGACCGGTAGCTATCCTGTGGTATAAGTTGGATATCGGTGAAGAGAAAAATGCTAGCATAATTCACATTGCATTTCCTCCACCTCTGTGGGAAAACAAGTAAACAAACAAACTCTGCCCTTTCAATGGATCCCAGAATTGGTGGACCTTGGAAAGAGCTCACCATCACTAGGTGGCTCAACTTTGTTTTTGGGCTTTGTGTTGCCGGGGACAATGCTGATGCCCACACCATGTTGTATCACACATGTCCTTCACCCTCCTTCGATACTTGTCATCAGCTGCCAGGGGAGAAAGAAGCCTCGTGCCCGAGCAATGTTTATGCCCCCTCTTAGTCCCAAGAGGGACATTTCCAGGAGCTTGAAAAACCCTATTTCAGAACAGACAAGCACATTCGATCTGCCTGGAAGTCTTTTTGTTTCCTGTCTTTTGAAAATATGAATGCACCAAAAGCTTCAAGACTTCTCTGAGCCTCGGTCTCCCCATCTGTAAGATGGGGTTTAATAATAGTTGCAGCATTACAGGGTAGTCATGAGGCTAAAACTAGATATTTGTAAAGCACTTTATAAACTTTAAAGTCCTATATGAAAGCCAGGTGTTCCTATTTTTACTAGAGATGTTAAAATGGACCTCAAAGGAATGGAAACATGCATGACAGGTCCTTGGTTAAGCAGAGATGCAGGAGCAGCTTGTGGTCTGCTTTTCTTCTATTTAACACCTTTTAAAATCACAGGACCATAGATATAGAACTGGAAGATACCTCTAAGGTTACCTAGAGGTCACTCCATCATTTTTCAAAAGAACAGATTGAGGCCCAGAGCAGGCAAAGGATCTGCCCAAGACAGCGTGATGAGGAGGAAATGGAGGATTTAAATATAGCACATCCCAAGCTCTTCATGGAGTCAGAGCTATTAGGGACTTCAAAGGTCATCTAGTACAACTCTCTCATGTTGCAGATGAGAGAAACTGAGGTCTAGAGAAGACTTGCTCAGAGGTCATCACCCAGGTAGTAAGTGGCTGAGCTGGGGATCAAGCCCCAGCCTAACAGCAAAGCCAGCATTCTTTCCAATGTACCATCTCCACATTTTAGTCATCTCTATTACTTCTCAAAAGTAATTTATCACACCGCCATTTGTGTCTAATATCTCAACTCTTGTGGAACAGATAAAGACAGAGAAAATAACAACCACCCACTTCCATTTGATCTCTGACTACCACATTATTTATTTATTTATTTGTTTATTAAAAAAAATTTTTTTTCCCTGACTACCACTTTGACATGTAGTACCTCACCAAGGTCAGAGATTGGCTTGTTTATGTTAAAACAGTCATGAAGTTTAGAGCTGAGAGACCTTAGCATTCTCATCTACTCGAATACTCTCCTTATAGATAAGGATTATAAGATTTTTAAGCTGCAAGAGACCTTAAAAATCATTTAGTTCAACATCCTTCTCCCCCTCCCCCCACCAGTTGGTAAATGAGGAGAATGAAGTCAAGAGCTATAAAGTGACTTAGTCAAAGCAACCTGGGGTGAGGCAGGAGAGCCAGGATTCAAACCCAGGGCTTCTGACTCTAAATCAAGTCTTTCCAGGACCCCAAGCTGCCTGATAGAATTTGTGCTCTGCTAGCGAATGACCTGCGTGCTTCCTTTTCACCGCAAGATCTCTCATGTGATAGGGCCAAGAGGACCAGCATCTCCTCAACACCTCTAGCTTGTACTTACACGTCATAGATGCAGTTTGGAGTAAAGGAGTGATTGGCCTTGTGTCCCAGGGAGGCACAGTACTTGGATGTGTGGTTGTAGGGCTCAGGCACATCGATGACCGTTTCATCATCAAGAGACAGTGTGTTTCCATTAAGGTCCCAGTCTCTGTCATCCACCTTTCAGAAAAGCAATATCATCACCATCACAAAGCTATGACTTTTCTTCCAAGAAATGTAAAGAGCTTTGAGTGGTTTAACATATGTGTCCTTACATTTTTGTTGTGGATGAAGTGACAGAACATCTATCCCTCCACCCTCTCATTCCCAGGGGGCATATAAGTAGGGCCATAACAAGGCCAGAGTGATCATCACTTTGCCCCACGGCTTTGAAATGGAGAGGAGAGTGATAGTCTTTATATGGCTTTAGTAGGTAGAAACAAATGAACTTAACACATAGTCAGCAAAATACCTTAAAATAAGAAGCTAGAAGATAACAGTGGCCACCTTGCCAGTAGCCACCTCAAGATATCTATGTTCAGGGCTCTGGGATCTCTATATCCTCCCTTGTGTCCTGAGAGGTCTGCGGTCTCTCTCCAAGGTCTCCCATCCTTTCTCGATCACCTGCTTTAGATGTGTCTGCCCAGGTGTCAGAATTACTATTTATTTTTAATGGACACAATTTAGAAGAGAAAATAACAACTATCCTTAAAATCCCTTTGGATGGGGCAACTAGATGGTGCAGTGGATAGGGCTCCAGTCTTGGAGTCAAGAGGACCTGAGTTCAAATCCAGCCTCAGACATATAACACTTGCTAGCTGTGTGACTCTAGGCAAGTCACTTAACCCCAATTGTCTCAGCAAAAAAAAAAAAATAAAACCCCTTTGGATACTTCATGTAAATCATTTTACCACCTTGATTCTGAGTCAAGAACTTTCAAGTCAACCTGGGTAAGAGGCAGAAAAGGGGATGGGTTACTGATTTGTTCTCAGCCTAGATCCCAAATTTGGGCATAAGCTCACTTTTGATACGTGCCGACGCTTGTAAAAGAGGCAAGGGCAGGGGATGTGAGCCCATTCTACAGCTGGGAAATGGAGGCCTAGGTTGATGTTCCTTTCCCAAGAGGCGCTCAGCTTTCTTCTCTTTATCTTTTTAATGGCTGTTACTGTTGAGATTCCCAGTGGTGCTCTTGGCCCTCATCAGCTGATTGTCTCTTCCCCAGTGACACTTACTTCTTGGTGTGTGATTCGGATCCCATTATAAAATGACATAACTGTGTTAGGGCCCACTGCTACTTTAGAAAACAGCCCTTCTCCAGCATTGGGAATGTGTGATTCAGCAACATAAACCCTAAAGAGAACCAAAACAAAGGGGAAGAGGTGAGCCTACAGCAAGTTCTAGAGCTCTCTGAAGCACAATTATCCCTCTATCCACAACGTCTGCCTGTGTCATTTACATGACTGGGGCTAAGAAAGGGCCCAATAACTCTCCCCTGGCTCAGAGAGGCAATGAACAATTGAGATACAACGTGTACCCTTTGTCAGACCTGCAGATGGGCTCATTAGAAGGAAAAGTGTTATCAGGGGACAAGTCAAGTGACAAGTCAAGTTATGGGAAAGTGATAGTGATACCAAAAAAAAGGGGGTTTGTTTTTTTTTTAAGTATCAGTAAAACATTAAAGGGCAGCTAGGTGGCCCAGTGGATAGAGTGCTGGGCCTGGAGTTAGGAAGACTCATTTTGTGAGTTCACATGTGGCCTCAGACATTTACTAGCTGTGTGACCCTGAGCAAGTCACTTCACCCTGTTTGCCTTAGTTTCCTCATTTGTAAAATGAGCTGGAGAAGGAAATGGCAAACCATTCCAGTATCTTTGCCAAGAAAACCCCAAATGGGGTCACAAAGAGCTAGACACTGAAATGACTGAAAAAACAAAATTAAAGCCTAATTAAAACCTTTTTTGCCTGGCAATTGGAAAAAGCATAAGATAGGTCTCTTTTGAGAAGGAAGAGATTACCTTTAGAAAGGTCTTACAATACCACGTTGAAGTTTTTAGTTTTTGTGTTTTTTTTTAAGAATGACGTTTTTTGTATTTTTGTAAATGTAAATTTTTCACTAGTTCACTAAAGCAACTTTTCTCTCCATACTTCCCGAGGGAAACCTTTCCCAAAACTTAAGAAAGTCCTATCTTAGCTTATTAATACTTAAAAGTAAAGGTCATTTTAATTGGGAATGAAACTTTTAAATGACAATGTGAAAGGCAGAGCTGATAAAGTCAAATTCAGTAAATACTTCATATTAAAAAAGGTTGAAATAAAGAGGAAACATTTGGTAGGGTATAACCTCTGTTGATTATTTCCAATTTATTTTCTCTATCTTGTTTGTACATAGTAATTTTTAAGCTGACTTCCCCATTAAACTGTGAGCTCCTTTAGGGCAGAGATTGTCTTTTGCCTCTCTTCGTATCCCCAGAGCTCAGCTCAGTGCCTGGCATGTAGTAGGTGCTTCATAAATGATTATTATAGACTGACTGAACAATAATAATATTAAGTCACTTAACTTCTCTGAACCTCAGTTTCCTCATCCATGAAATGGGTTAATAATATTTGCATAATTATCTCCAGGGATTGTTGTGAAGACCAAATGAGATATCATAGATGAAGAACTTTGAAACTTAAAAGTGTTGTGTAAAACGGAGCCATGATTATCATTAAGTGAATAAGTAAGCTCAACCATATAGAATACCACCATATAGCTTTAGTACTAACTCCATAGCTGTTTCATATTAGATAAGTGAAATGAGAGACATTTTAAAATTCTAAAGGAAAAAACACAGCCCACCTCTCTGACTCGTAAGGATCAGGAAGAAGGGGATTTGTAGAAATGCAGGATGGAGTCGACTTATCAAAATGGTAGACAGAACCTAAAAAACAAAATCCAGGCAGAAGCACCATTAGCATACAGTGATTAAAAATACTCATCTCTCTCTCTCTCTCTAACAGTAACAATAAATGGTAAAATGTTTCAAAGAAAATTATACCAAATTATGCCCTAAAATAGAAAAAAATCCTATAAGACAGAAAACACCATAAGGCATTTAGAGACATTATGGGATATCCACTCACTCTCCTTGGGTCATTAGGATCACAGGATCATTGATTCAGAGGTGGATGAGACAAGACTGCAGAGCCTATCTACTACAGGCCCCTTATTTATAGATGAGGGGACTGAGGCCAGGTAGTAAGTGACTAAGCCAGAATTGGAACATAAATCCTCTAGATTCCAAATTGAGGATTCTTTTCAATACACCACATTATCATGTCCCAAAAGTCTTAGTGTAGTTTAAAGCTATTAAATAAGTTCTTTACTAATTTCCATTTACTTGATATTGCTTAGGGGCAGCTAGGTGTCGCAGTGCGTAGAGCACTGGCCCTGGATTCAGAAGGACCTGAGTTCAAATCAGACCAAACACTTGACACTTACTAGCTGTGTGACCCTGGGCAAGTCACTTAACCCCATTGCCTAGCCAAAACAAACAAACAAAATACAAGAATTAAAAAAAAAAGCTTAGACATTATATTTCAAGAAATAATTAAGGGAAACTACCCCAATATCTTAGATCCAGAGAGTAAAATAGAAATGGAAAGAATTCACCAATCACCTCCTGAAAGAGATTTCAAAACTAAATCTCCCAGGAATATAGCCAAATTCCAGAGCTCCCAGGTCAGGGGAAAAAATACTTTAAGCAACCAGAAGGAAACAATTCAAATACTGTAGTGCCACAGTTAGGATCACACAAGATTTAATGGCTTCTATGAGAAAGGAGTAGAGGGCTTGGAATATGATATTCTACAGGGCAAAGGAGCTAGGATTACCACCAAGAATAACCTACCCGGCAAAACTAAGTATTTATAGTATTTGTACTTATACATTTATAATATTTATACTTTGGTGGTGGGAGGGAATGGATATTTAATGAAATAAATGACTTTCAAGCATTCTTCATGACAAGACCAGAGCTGAATAGAAAATTTGACATTCGAACACAAGACTCAAGAGAAGAATAAAAAGGTAAACATGAAAAAGTAATGATAAGGGACTCAATATAGTTAAACTGTTTACATTATTATATAGGAAAATGATACATGCAACTCCTAAGAACTTTGTGATATAATGGCAGGTAAAAGAGCTTACATAGACAGAGGACATGGATGTGAGTCAGTTATGTTGGAATGATCTCAAAAAAAATGAAGAGAGGTGAGAAAGAGGGATTTACTGGGATAAGGAGAAAGAGAGAGGTAGAATGGGGAAATTTTTCTCACATAAAAGAGCGGCACAAGGAAATGCTTTTACAGTACAGGGGGAAATGGAGGGTGGCAGGCAATGCTTGAACCTCATTCTCACAGAGGGAATAGTGTATACTAATACTGAGTTGGGTATAGAAATCTATTTTATCCAATACGGACATAGAAGGGGAAGGGAATAAGAGATATGGGGGAGTGATAAAAAGAGGTACGACAGATTGGGTGAGGCAGTAGTTGGAAGCAAGATAGACTTTTGAGGAGGGGCAGGATAAAAAGAGAGAGAGAGAGAAGGATAAGCGGAGGAAAATGGGGTAGACAAAAATGCACAGTTAGTGATCATAACTGAGAATGTGAATGGGATGAACTAACCCATAGAATGGAAACAAATAACAGAATGGATTAGAAACTAGAATCCAATAATATGTTGTTCACTTGGGACAGAAAGACATACACAGAGTTCAAATGAAGGGCTGGAACAGAATCTATTATGCTTCAGCTGAAGTGAAGAGGCAGGGAGGCAATCATGATCTCAGACAAAGCAAAAGCAAAAATAAACCTAATTGTAAGAGATAATTGGGGAAACTGTATTTTGCTAAAAGGTGCCATAGACAATTAAGTAATATAAAAAAAATTTAGAGCAAATTTCTCTGATAAAGGTCTCATTTCTCAAAAATATAGAGAACTAAGCCAAATTTGTAAAAATAACAACAATTCCCCAATTAATAAATGGTCAAAAAATATGAACAAGCAGTTTTCAGAAGAAGAAATCAAAGCTGTCTATAATCATTTGAAAAAAAAGCTCTAAATCACTACTGATTAGAGAAAGGCAAATTAATATAACTCTGATGTATTACCTCACATCTGTCAGAAATGACAAATGCTGGAGAGGATGAGGGCAAAATAGGTGCATTAATAAACTGTTGGTAGAGTAGTGAATTGGTCCAACATTCTGGAGAACGTTCAGGACCTGTGCCCAATGGGGTATAAAATTGTGCATACCCTTTGATCCAACAATACCACTACTAGGTCTGTGTCCCAAAGAGATCAAAGGGAAAAAAAAGGAAAGGACCTATAGGTACATAAATACTTATAGCAGCTCTTTTTGTGGTGGCAAAGAATTGGAAATTGAGGGAATGCCCATCAATTGAGAAATGGATGAAAAAGTTGTGACATATGATTACGATGGAGTACTATTGTGCTATAAGAAATGACAAGAGGTTTGGTTTCAGAAAAAATATGGCAAGATCTATATGAACTGATACAAGGTGAAGTGAGAAGAACCCAGAGATCATTGTACACAGTAACAGCAATGTTGTAATGATGATCAGCTGTGAAAGACTTGGCTACTCTGATCAATACAGTGATCCAAGATGATTCCAAAAGACTCATAATAAAAAAAAAAATGCTAGCTACCTCCCAGAGAGAGAACTGATAAACTCTGAGTGCAAAATGAAATATAATTGTCTTGCATTATCTATTTTCTTTTGCTTTTTTTTTTTGGCAATGTGGCTAATATAGAAATATGTTTAGCATGATTTCACATGTATAATTGATATCATATTGTTTACTTTCTCAGAGGGGAGGGGAGGGGTGGGAAAGAGGAAGAGAATCTGGCACTAAAAACAAAAAAAAAAAGAAAGAATGTTAAGAATTAACAAATTTTTTAAAAAGTTAAAAAAAAAGACTTTGAGGGCACCTTGTATATATATTGCTGCAGCTGTCAGTTACTCTATCTCTTCTATCATTTTGCCTTTGAATTTGCTTTATTCAAATTATAGAAATGTACAAACGTAACATTTTGTCAAAAAGTTCTTAGTGATGCAATTTTTAGCTACCTCCAGGCCAGATGCTAGCAAGTAATCATTCTCAAACTTTCAGTCCACATACCGCATTACAGATAAAAGAGCTCTAGAGAATTCACTCTGCCAGCCATGCCCCTTTGTCACAAGCAACCAAGATGAGAACTCCACCCTCACCAGCATTAGTGAGAGGAATGGTGCTATTTTTGGCAAGATGTGAATAAGGCCACCTCTTATTGCTCCTGAATACTTCAGAGTGTCAAGGATCTGATTTCACCAGGGTGGTGACTCTGGGTACCTATGTATGCTTGTCATAGTACACCCTCACTTTAGAAAGCCATTTAGAAAGTTAAATATTAAAAGTTAATTATGAACTCATGGCAGAAACAAAAATGGAGGAGGGTTGTCATATTTCAACAATTTAAACGACAATGATCACAGATAGGATCATAGTTTCATCATAGAACATAGATGATCATGGGATCATGGAGCAGGGTGGGATCTTAGAGGCTGCCAAGTCCAACTCCCTCCATTTATAGATGAGGAAACTGAGGCACAGGGAGGGTAAGTAGAAATCAAACCCAGGGCTTTTACTTCCAAATCCAAATTAACAGCGTTTCTCTCTTTCTCTTTCTCTCTCTCCTTTCATCTCCTCTCCTTTTCCCTCCTCAGTCTCCTCTTCTGTCTTCTCCTCTCCTCTCTTTCTCTCACACTCTCTCTTTCTGTCTTTCCACTTACAGAGTTAAAGCTAACTCTACTATTGTGATTTCAAACAATAACAATGCCACCATCACCACTACAGATGTTCCGTCATTCAGTCATGTCTGACTCTTTGTAACCCCATGGACCGTAGCATGCCAGGCCCTTCTATCCTCCACTACCTTTTGAAGTCTGTCCAAGTTCATGTTTGTTGTTTCCATGACACTATCTCTCCATCTCATCCTCCGCTGTCCCCTTTTCCTTTTGCCTTCAATCTTTCCCAACATCAAGGTCTTTTCCAATGAGTCCTCTCTTCTCACTATGTGGCCAAAGTATTTAAGCTTCAGCTTCGGTATCTGACTTTCCAGTGAGTAGTCTGAATTAATTTCTTTAAGTATTGACTGATTTGATCTCCTTGCTGTCCAAGGGACTATTATTCCCATTTTACAGATGAAGGAAATGAGGCCCCAGGTTATACACTTAGTAAGTGTCTCAGGTAGGATTCAAACCTGGTCTTCCTGACTTCCAGTCTATCCCTTTTAAACTCTATCATGCTGCCTCTAGATTTCAAAGGGATCATGATGAAGATTATAGAATACTCATTTTACACTCATTTTACAGGTGAAAAAAGCTGAGCACTGGGCAATAAATAACAGAGCTGGGGTTTGAACCCATTTCCCATGACTCCAAATGCAGTTCCCTTTCCACTATACCACAAAGGGAAGGGATGACAGAATACAATGTAGAACACCCTTTTTCAGAACATTCTTTGAAAACCACTGCTCTTGGGAGACCCACTGGGTGAAACAGTCTCTGAAAGTGCTTATTCATGCAAGGTAAGTTAACTTTTTCAGGACCCTGGGATGCCCCTGAATATCCCACTGGTGCTTAACTCATTTTCCAATTAGGTAGGATATGGACCTAATTCCAAAATCAAAAGCCAGAAAACAATCCATTAAAAACTAATGTAGTTCAGGGAAAAAATAACCACCAGCACCAGCTAAACAGATTATTTCCTGTGGGACTTCTGTTTCCTTTTGACCAAACTCCCATACCTTTTCCCTAGTGGGTTCTTTCCACCTTGCATTTATTAAAACTTTTCTTCTTTCTCCTGACTGTAC